TCTGCGCGACAAAGCTGTTTTTTCCGAGGTCGCTATAAGGATAGCGACTGGATCATGAGTCACGGCGCGAATGTAAGAGTCCGACCAAGAGTGACCGCGAAGTTAGATGCTGATTGTGAGAAAATCCCGAATCTTTTTTTACGATTGTGGGACATGATCTGCCACGACTTCAGCGGAAAAATTGACTTGGGAAGAATTATGAATAAAAGATCTGTTTTCTGATCATCACTTTCGTTAATTTGATTTCTGTCGTCCGTCATCTGTTTGAATCTGTCGTGTATGTAGAAGTGAGTACAAAGGCATTTTCAACTATTTTTACAGTCATTATTGCTATTTTGAACTATGAGAAGTCATACATTTTCATTTGGCCTCAGAACGACTATTTCCATATATGTGATATACAGAAATATAGCGCAGAGAAAGAGCTTTCGACTGACATATAATAGTTCTAGTGAGGTATCAAGCCGAGAGAGATACACTGAAAAATATGATTGATAATACATATCAGAAGGAGCAGAACTTTGATTACAGTTAATTCGACTCAATTTTTTCTCAGAGCAATTCTAAAGCCCCCTGCTCCCTGCCCTACTCCCGGGAGTCTAAATCGAAATTTTTGGTATCTCAAATTTCAACGAAAGATACGTTATTCAACGCAGAATTTCGAACTGATTACGAATATCGGCTTGATTTAACGCTAAAACGCTACTAGTACATGGTTGTAATGAGCATCGAATTTTGAACAATATAGCCAATTCGGTTTTTCCAAAAAAAAGTTTCATACTTTTCAAAAAATTTTTGCCTCTACTGCCCCCTTGTACCAAATTACTTTTTTTAACTGATGGTATTTTCGACCATCGTTAACTTTTCGTCGTCAGCCGACTCAGTAACGTGTTTGAAAAATTTGAAACACGCTCAATGGTGTTCAGAATTGATTTTTCTATCTAAAATATGTCAAAATAAAAAGTGAAAACACGGTTCGATATTTTTTCTAGGTCTTTGTACTCGCTTCTACATACACGACAGATTCAAACAGATGACGACAAAAATCAAATTAACGAAAGTGATGATCAGAAAACAGAGATCTTTTAATTGCCACTTCATATGCTTGCACAAATTCCGCAGTTTTCTAGCTTGTTGCAATGAAAATACGGAAAGTGGTATATTTCACAAATCTACTTTTCGTTAGAAAAATATTTTGACTATAACTTATTTTCCTACACAGCTAGAAAACTGCGGTTTTCACAACTGGAATCACCGTTCAAAACTGCATCGAGTAAGCTGTATCTCATGATTGGTGCCCAAAGTCGACGTATTGGAGGTTTCTATTATACACATTTTTCCTAACATATGTTCGTATTTTCAGTTCTTAACCATGTTCGACAACTTTTTTCCAGTTTTGAGGTCATATTCCGAAAGAGCGTAAAATACTCAGTCGAGCCACGTATTTCACTCATGGGATCAAAAGTTTGTTTTCCCATAATGTTAGATCGAAGCGCCCAAAAAACGGTATTTTTCGCCGTTTTAGGGGCAAACACTTTTTTTGGAGAAACCGAATCGGCTATTTTCTTCAGAATTCGATGCTGATTACAATCATGTGATTTTTTCGGCAAAAAAGTATGACATGAAAAATGACCTTACCGCCACTTGTCCTTTCAGAAAATTTAACAAGTGACAAGTTTTTTGATACTTTTTGTAAATTAATCTGGGATGTATTATTTTTTTATCATTCAATATGTATACATCACTATTTTTATTGACGAGGACTATTGCTAAAGTCTAAAGTTAACCGTAGACAACGATCAAACTGTATGGGTGATTATTGAGAATTCGCTAAAAACGGTGAATTTTGACGGCTTCCCTAACGAAAATGGAGTGAAAAATTTTCTTGAAAATTCTTTTTTCACATCTCCTCAACGTTGATTTCCTGCTTACAAAAAGGCCTGACTTTTTTTCTATCCACAGTCCTTTTCCCTCGGAAGCGTATGTGCTATAGTAAAGAAAAATAAATGTGACTTTCATTCATTCCCAAGCAAAAATTACCTAGCGGAAAAATCTAGATGTTCTTGCTGGAGCATTGTCCAATGCTCCAGCAAGAACATCTAGGTAAAAGAGTAAAAAAAATTGACTTATCTAGATGTATCGGGTTGAATCCAATGCCACACAATGCAAATCCCAATGCCTTGGGAAGACAGAAAATACGCAAGTAAAGCAATGCTTCTGTTGATGCATCCCTCTATTTCTGCAATACAATTGGACGATGCATCGAGTAAAGCATCGGTCGATCCCAGAGTCCCTGCCTAATGCATATGTCCATGCAATACCAGATACACTGAGCGGTGCACTCCTGGATGCATCTAAATAGACATCTGGCATGTCATCCGTCGATGCGTCATTAGAAACATGGTCATGAGGAAATATCTTTTGGCACTTACGCATAACATATATTTTTTTGCTCTCCTTCTCTGTTTCACTGTGTTATGAACGTGGAAATATTACTTCATAGTTTTCATTCATCGTTTTATTCTTCCTTTTTTTAAACATTAAAAGTTGAATTAAAAGCTTCCGGCTTTGTTCATTTTCCATTGAAATCCATCTGATATATCGGTTTACTTTCTCTAACTCCGCAGTAAGATTGAAACAGTACTTGTCTGCCCCAGAAGATTCGATAAAAAGACGACTTTAAATATTTTTAGATCTGAGAAAAAAATATTTTTCATAAAATGTGCCTCGTGTTTTAGCACTCATAAAAAACCGAAACAGTTTTTTAATCCTAACGAAAAAGATCGAGTGATATTTTAATCAACGGTTTTTTCGGCCAGAACGCTCTCCACCAAAAAATCTCGGTTTTTTAACCGACAAAAAACTACATTGGATTTTTTAATTTCGACATAAAACCCAAAAGGGTTCTTTAGCAAATTCAAAATACGCCTGCTCGTTTTTTTAATCTAAGAGTTTTTTTTAGAGCGTAGAATTTGTGCAAGTTGCACACTTCTTCACTTAAGCACACGCAGTGACCATGCTCTATATTCCAGAGTGGCAAGGGAAGCGAAAAACTTATCCCGGTTGATGTGATCGCACAAAAACACTTGCATGAATAAACGTCTGTTTTTTCTCAAGATCGCCTTGATTTTTCGCCTTGAGTTTTCGTTTTGAAAATCAGTCATTCCTCATTCTTTGCAGATCGCCCAAAAGTCCAATGTGTCTTCCTAACATTAGAACTCCTTCTCTTCCAGGTGAAAGCCGATTTTTTTATTTGCATATCATGACTTTCCGATTCAATTTGTGCCGAACATCATTAGTGCTGATTGTACTATTACAAAATTTGGTACTAATGAATCACAGGTTTTAGCGGTTTCCTGAGGCCGCGGTTTGAAGCGGTTTTTTTACAAAAACGATTCTCTTAATGTTATCGCCGGTATCTGTTCGTTTTCTGTCGTTCTCTTTTCTTTATAATTATAGTGTAACTCTTAAATCTTAATTCAAAAATCTTTTCCCATCAAATCATGTTTTTTTTATTTTGTCATTTAATCAAAAACTCTTAGTTCTCCAGGACATTATATGAAGAAGAAATTTGAAAAATCTTTTGGATTTTCTACTTTTACATCAATAAACGAGATTAAAACAAATTTGAAAAATACTGAGCATTCGATATGTTTTTAAACCATCCGGTACATAAATTTTAACTGTGAGCTAGGAAACGTCTCATTTTAATATGAGCAATCTTTTATATAAAGCAAACATTTTGGAACTCTTACCCAGACCCAGAGACTGCGCATATCAAATTTTCAATTTTGAGACTAATTTTGTATGCGTGTCATTCAAAATTTTTTGTCTCCTGAATGATACACCTTTGAATGCTATCTATTGAACCATAAGGCCGATCTACACAGGTTATATTCACTATAGCAAAATAGGCGACGAAATTATTTATCATAGCTCCATCTGTCAGTCTCATGAGATGTCACGCTGATAGTGATCAAAATGGGATTGTTGGTATTAGTACTGCCAATTGTTTACCAGATCAATGCTGGGGAGCTGGAGTTTGTTTTAAATTGAAGTAAACACGCACAGGCAGAGGATGATAGAGCTCGATCGTTCTGTTTTTGATTCGTAAGCCGGTTTTTATGCATAACAAGTTAAACAGGTGAAAAAATTGAATCAAATTGAGAAAATTGAAGGAAAATTCAAAAGTCGTGATCTATCGATTTTTAGCCGCAAGCGTCATTAGCCCGAATTCTCAGGTATCTATCGGTACATATTACAGAATTTTGAGCAATGCTGAACTCTCGTAATGAAAAATGTCAGTTTTAGAAAAAGTTAGTATCTGTATTTTATACGCATTTTTTCAGCATTTGATAAAAGTCCTGTAACGTTCGATCAAAATAGAGTTACGTAACATCTCCATTTAATCTGAAATATTTGTCTACAAAATGGCGTTAATGACATCTATTTATCCCTTGAAAACTTATTAAAACGAGCAAATTTTTTAAAGTAGCCAGTATATCTGTATGCTTTTAGAAAAGATTTTCAAAAAACCATTTGAAATCTAATAAACAGTGTTAAGAACGATGAAAACGAAGGCGAATGAACTGTTCTCATTCAATAATTCATCTGCCGTCTTTTTTATTTGATCATTTTTGATAGTTAACTGGAGTTATCTTAAAGCGTTATCATAATCGTTTAAGACATATTTAGAATAGAATACTTGAACTTTTACTTCAAAACAGCTTGATTACACACCTTCGGCAACATGCTTATTTCCTTCCCTTTTCAGAACTAGTATCTTGTTCTTCATCATTGCTTATTTTTACCCATTATGAGTCGAATAAATGCACATATATATATATATATATTATTTTTATTTGAGAAACAGAGCAACAATACTAAATCATTTTTCTAAAAAAAGCCTACAAAACTGTTCTTAACTGTATATCATTAACTAACATAATCTCACTAAGCTCAATGAAACTATCTTTTTGTGTCAACTATCTTCCATCTATTCAAATGCTATACTCACGATTGTTACTATCAACAAATGATTTATCTAATTGATAATCGATTGAATCATAAGGTAAATACGTTGACGTATTCATTAAATCACTATTATTACTATTATTGTTAATCGTTTTTCTCGCATTAAGTGCTGCAACCGTCTTTTTCAAATTAACACCGTGATAATTATTCGAACTAATCGTATTAATACTATTTGAGTTTTTTATGTTTTTCTCTGATGTCGAATGTAAACTCGTTTTATTATTATCAAATAGCAGACATGTTGATTGTTTCGGATGATCAATAATGACTGGTGTTGATGACGGAGAATGAAATGTTGTCGATAGATTTTGCTGCTGTTGTTGTTGCTGCTGTTGAGTATTATTATCTATATCATTTTTAATATTATCCGAATTATGAATACCAACGAGAACATTGTTTTTATTTATTCGAGGTATAGGTACTGCATAATCGACAGATGTTGAACTTAAACTCGATGAACGATGATAAGTGTTTAAGAGCGGTCGGGTACTAGCGATGGCTACACCATGAGCACTAGAGGAAGATCGTGATAAATCGTTACTTCCATAACAACTATCTTCTGAATTAATCACCATGCCGAGTATATCATCGTAGCCTTTGTTACCATCTTTTGATACGTCACAATCCCCATTGCCATTATCATATTGTTGATTATTTAATGGAACTTTCTAAAACAGATATTAAAATAACAAACTATAAGTATGGAAAAGAGAAGATCCATTCAAATTAGGCGTTATTAATAGTGAACATGAAGATCATGCGCTACTGTAGGATCATCTATCAACGAATTTTGAGGATATCAAAGTGAATGTGGGAAGTTTCACTACCCAATGTGTCTTCTAATTGTTTTTGTTTGGCTGGTCAGTTATTCGTTTTTAATGCAAAATTATACATTGTACATCAAGTTTGTCAAATTGGTCGACCTTTTAAGAAATTTCTGAGTATTAAATGAAGAGCATAGTGTTTGTTTAGCCAAAAAACAGCGGTGTATTCTTATCTTTACACATGGCTAGATATACGCAGGCTACTATAGCGGATACTGCCTAGTAGGGGACTAGAGTTTAAAAGCACAGAACAGGGTAAGGTTAGGGCTTGAAAACTTTCAAAAGATTGTGTCAGGCTCAATAAACTATTACCCTGCAAATCTTTACACACGGTTTGATACAGTGATGTGCACTGGCACAGCCTTTTTGTACTTATATCCAATCAGTGTGGATCGATTTGTATATCTCTAACAGAAATATCGCTGATTATTCTTAGCAGTTGCTTGATCATAATGAATTCTAGGAGATTTTTTCCTATAATGTGCATGAATTCTATATGAAGGTTTTATTTTCCATTGAACATATTTTTTCTGTAACTATTCCAGACATTTGTTATTTAATGTTATAGTGAACGTGAGCATATCGACTAATATTTTTTTCTCATAAATGAAATGTAGCATGAAAAGCTGCTGTTACTCTATCAGTACTATGTATTTTTCTTTTTTCTTCTCTATATATACATGTCTTGGATCATTTCAAATTAGACGTAATCGTTAACGACAGCAGAATTTATATTCTCTATTCACATCAACTTCATGTCTAATTTCCTAGATGAAGTGTTTAATCGTCGCTCTATTAGATGATTTGAACTCTAGGTTCTATAATACACATCATTATTAGAATATCTGACATCACTTTTTGTTTTCTTTTCTTTTGTTTTTGTGTGATGAAGAAAAAAAAAAACTATGACGAAACGTTTTATATTTGCTTCAATAGATAAAATTAAAAACTTCTTAATTCAAATAAGTTTTTTTTTCTTCTAACGGAACAAGCGAGTCATGCAAGAAGGAAAAAGATCTCATCGTCTTGAAAAGTTCGCTGTTTCCTCTTTTTTCTATACACATGACGCAATAAATCTTTTATGGCTTCATGTTAATTGTCTTCACATGAAAAGGAAATATAATTTGATGATTTTCCACACTTCTAAAATTATAGTAGATACGCTTGCCTGTCATGAAATAATAATCGTAGCTCAAACGGCAGACAGGTGCCGGTGATCTGTTAGTTTCATGCGTGATAAAGATTCGTTTCCTTACATAGCATTTAATAACCATTTGACCGTTTTTTTTTTTTTCTTCTTTTTTTTATTCATTGTCAAAACGAGTTTTAACCTTTTGTATAAATACACATAAAATAGACACTTATAAATGGATATAAGAGTGCCAGCTTGTCGATTCAACGTAGGATTAGAAAGATCTATTATCGTTGTCGCAAAGAGATTACAAGATTTTCAATGACCTTTAATGCAATTAGCCAACATTTAACTTGATACTTATAGTATGGAGACACGTGTGTGTGTGTGTGTGTTCTAGTTATTGAAACGAAACAATCACTCATGTATGCGCATCAATGAGACATAGCACAAGTTGCATCTCACATCTTTCCATCAGCATTCAATGATTTTCTAAACTACTCTTATAAATAAATAAAGTATACTATACAAGCAAATAGCTGACGATCTTAAACAAACTCATCATTACTAAAAAAATTACAATGCTTTTTCTTCTTCTATTTGTCTCCGACTAAACCTTGAATAAACAATAGGTTTTTCTTGTTCGTTTATTTCCTGTCGTATATTTAGATTTTCTTCATACTTACCAATGTATTTGTTTTATTATTAATATCCGTTCCATTTGTCGTTGTTGTACCAACTGTTAACAGTTTATCACCATCTGATAATAAATCAATTGATTTCAACATATGAAAACGTTTTCGTTTACATAATAATGTAATTAATATGCCAATACTGATACTGAATATTAAAGTTAATATTGATGATATTATAACAACAAACAACATTTCTTTTGTTAAAATATTATTTATATTTGTTGTTATGGTTGTTTCTGTTCTACTTTCAGATAATAATTGTTGTTCAGTATTGACTAATTGAAAATGTTTTATATTTACATGTTCTCCAACTTTAATATTTAAATATGTCAATGTACTTAAACTTGGCCATCCTTGATCAGTTACACGTATACGTAAACGATGATGACCATATGGTAAATTATCAGATTGTGCTAATATTGTTCCATTTGTTTCAATAATACGAAAATAATTAAATGTATTACCATCATCAATTGTATACGATAAATTTCCATTTTGTCCATGATCACGATCTATAGCAATTATTTTTGTAATTAAAATTGTTTGTGAATAATTTTGATTTAATAAATCACTTGATATATAAACAAGATTATTGATACTTGTTGGAAAATCAATTTGAGGTGAATCTAAATACAAGAAAAAATTTAATATTTTCTTCTTTTTTTTTCATATCCATACAATCTACACTTACTATCATTAATATCGAGAATATTGATTGTTATCAAGGCTGTATCTGACTGTCCATTAATATCTTTAGCAATAACATATAATTTATGTACGGGATGTGTTTCATAATCTAATAATGTTTTTGTTCTTAATACACCTGTTATTGGTGATATTTCAATATATTCGGGTTCATTATACAATTGAGTACATAATAATTCATATTTCACTTTACCATATTCACCCGAATCCAAATCAATTGCATTTACTTGTCCAATGTACGTATGAATAGGTACATTTTCAAATAATTCAAATGTAAAATTTTTTTGTTTAAATATTGGACTATTATCATTTGAATTATTTATATATACTTGAAAATCCATTAATGTATGTAATGGTGGTTTTCCATTATCATTGACTTGTAATGTTAAATAATAAATTGTCTGTTTTTCATAATCATATGTCATATTAGCATAGAGAATACCAGTTTTTGAATCCAATAAACAACATTGTGAATCATTTGATGAAACTAATGTATACGTTAATAAACTATTGTTACCTGTTGAATCTATATCAGAACTTTGAAATTGAATCAATTTAACACCGATAGAATTATTTTCAATTACACTTATAGGATATTGTAATTTTTCAATAATTGGATAATTATCATTAATATCTAATAAAATAATTGTAAGACGTTTTTGAGTTGACAATGACGGACCATTTCCTACAGGAAAAAAATAGATATTTTTAAAACTGTTTATCACCGTAGATCATTGATTTACAAATGGAATTTTCTCTATTCTAAATTTGATAAAACGAGATTATCATCACGTTAGTAGAAGATAAGAGATAAAATTAGTAAATTAAGTTCTTATTTGTTTTTTTTCTCTATTATATGAAATTATGATATCTATTTTTCTTTTTTAAAATTATTTTTTACTTTTTCTATACCTTCACTTTTTTTCAAAGTAATCAAGATTTAATTTTATATCGAATAACAAAAACAAAACAAAAACGAATCTTACCGGGAGATGGTTGATCTTTTGCTTCAAAAATTAATTTATATTCACTTTGTATTTCTCTATCTAATCGTCCAATAATTTGTAATGAATATAAATCTGTATATTGTTCAATTAATTGAAATAAATTTGTATAACTTAATAAATTTAATTGTACTTTATCATTAACTGAATCTTTATCACTAACACTTATATGAAATAATCTTGTATATAATTTTAATTCTTCATTAATATAAAAAATATTATTTATACTATCAATTTTCCATTCATCATTATCTGATAAAATAAAATCTATTTCTGGTGCCATATCATTAACATCGAGTATATCAATTTTTATTTGACAAAAAACATTTACAGATTCAGGACCATTATCTTGAGCTCGAACAGAAAAACGATAATTTGTTTCTGTTTCATAATCAAGTAATTTATCTAAACGTAATATACCCGTTGAAATATTAATTGAAAATGGTAATAATTGTTGATAAAGAATACTACTATTATTAATAACAATTGTATAATTAATTAATGAATTTAAACCATCATCATTATCAATAGCATGTACACGAAGTATTTCTGTTCCAATACGAGTATTTTCTCTTAATTTAATATGATATTGTTCATGTTCAAATATTGGTAAATTATCATTTGAATCTAATACTTGTACATCAAGTAATAATATACCTGTACGTTGTTGATTTTCATCAATAGAATCAAATACAATTATTTTCATACGATATAAATTACGTATTTCACGATCTAATTTTTTTAATAATTTTAAACCAAGTTGATTTTCTGTATGTAAATCAATTATTTGAAATGTTTCATCTAAATCTTTATCATTTGTTTCAATTGATAACATTTTATATTGTAAATAATTTGATGATTGACCTTGTCCATAATCAAGATCAATAGCAGATGGAAATGATGCCATATAACCTAAATAATAAATATAAAATGATTATTATATTTTAATTTTAAAAATAAAAAACAAGAAAATATTTACCAATATCTGTATTTTCTGATATTCGTATGATAAATGTTGAAACAGGAAACATGGGATCATGATCATTAATATTTTCAATTAAAACTTCTAATGAAAGTATATCAACTGTATCAGCTGAAGCAACAATTTCTAAATTTAATATACATTTTTCACAATTACATGTATTTGTTCGACATAATTCTTCTCTATCAATGACTCGTTTAATAGAAATTTTTCCTGTTAAACTATCAATAATAAAATAGGAATTATGTGGACTTGTTTCAGATAAAAATGTATATCGTAATTTTTGTGAACGATTTAAATATGTTCGACTAATATCACTGACAGATGAGCCAATTGAACTTTGTTCTTTAACAGTGATAGATGGTAAACGAAGAATAGCTCCGTGTATAATAATTGAATTAAATGAAAATATACACCATATTAATAACATCATTAAATCATTATTGATTACTGTTTTTTAATTAAATCTTGAAATAGAAAAGTGAAATTTATTCCATGAAAAAAGAAATAATTTTTTTTTCTTTCTAAAATAAGATTTTGTCTCTTCTCTCGTTTCTATCTAAATTGAACATTTTCAAAATGAAGAAGAAAAAAAGGAAAAGTATACCTATTCTCAACTAGTCTATAACGTTTAACAAATCTAATCAAGTACGAAACAAAAAAAAAAAAGAAGAAGAAGAAAAGAAAGAGAGAGAAATGTCTCTGTTGTGACTGTCAACATGTTTTAATTGTATGATGGTCATCTTAGGAAAAAAATATACACACACATTGATCTTTCCATTATATGATAGATTTTGATGAAAAATTAATGTCATGCACAACCAACAGAGAATATCGATAAATCATGGATGAGCAAGAAGAGAAGAATGTTTGAACGTATAAGAATTTATTCATAAAAACCAAAGATTATTGCATGAAGCAAAAGAATCGATAATTTTCTTACTTTATTTCTACAACTTTTCAAGCATAAAAATCTTTTCTTAATAAGTATTAAAAAATAAAAATTAGATAGTATCACTTGTTTAAAATCTTGTTTCATCCAAATAAACATGTTTTGTCTGTGCATCTCTATATGTCTGTGTGTATGTGTCTCCAAACGATTGTTACCAATTTTAAGTTTAATGACCCAGAAGTGTCATCAATGTGTTAAAAATTCGTTCATTGCACACACATCCCTCAAATAATAATAAATGATAACGTTTATGGATGAGTTTCACATTCATCAAATTGAGTTATAAAAGTGAAAAAACGATTGTCATAGAAGAAGGTATAACGGTATGCAGAACATCACATATTTTTTGTTTTGAACATCTCACTTTTTCTTCTTTTTTTTTCTACTTGTATAGGATATGATAGTTAGTATAGAAGGAACAAAAAACATGTTGTCACCGTTTAACGAGAGAGAGAGAGAGAGAAAACACATTGTTAACTGTAGACTATACAACAACTACAATTCACAATTTATTGAATATATATCAAAAAGGAAATAAGTCTAACAGGGACTATACATAATATCATTAATTGAACCATAACCACTTTATGTTTGATTACAAAACTTTCTTTTCTATTTTTCACAATATGTGTTCTTTTTCTCCAGTTCAGAAAGACTATTTTAAGATTCTTTTAATCAAACAACAAAAAAAATTGTACTAACTCGCATAATTTTTAATCCCGTTAAAAACTAGTACAATATAAAAGAGAGGGCAATGATGCTCAAACATGACCACTTTTGTTGTTATATATAACATGCCCGTATTGGATTATGAATATATTCTCTCATTTTTTGATTTTTATCTCAAAATACCAAAACATTATTCAACAGAGAAAAAAAGATTGTTGCATTTGATTATAATAATAATATCAAATTAACGCCGTCTCATCCGTTCTCATTCTTATATTTTAATGTGACATACGAAATTAAACGTCAAAACCTTTATATGAGATCAAATTACAATTCGAACAAAAATTTGTTCAACGAAATATACATACACACACACACATACATACATATAGACGTTCACTCTTTTTTTTCGTTGTTGTTAAAAACTTTGTTTTTTCTTGAAAAATGACAAAATTTTACGAACAGTTTGAAAACTCTAAGACATTATAGAATGACACTTGAGTAGATGTCAAAGAAAGAGAGAGAGAGAGAGAGAAAGAGAGGGAGAACAATTATGCAACTGTCAGAAATAATTGATTTAGACATGATAACTGTTAAGTTTAATTCATGTATAAACTAATTGTTATTGGTCAGTCGAGTTTAAGATGATTGTTTATCCAGTAACTATGATAATTTTTAGACAAGATACTTTGAATTGAAATTATTCAGAAGTAATTCTACAATATATGAACTACAAGGAAACATTTATTGTAAAATTTATTAGTATGTATCTATTGTTAGTAAATTTCATTTTTTAATGGATAGTAAATCAGAATGACCTTGTGGAATTTTTTTATTGGAAATAGGACAAAAATGAGATTCTATTTTACTTTTGTAGAAATTTATCGATCGAGTATGTACGCTTACAAGATGTATGGTGGTGTACGTTTAGCAGAGAATAATCAAGGTTAGATCTATGGGTATGTGTGTGTGTATGTCTTTCGTATACCAGAAATTTATGCAATAGAAGAGAATAGAGCGGATCAAACTGTTGTACAACAGAAGTATGTCATTGTTTAATAATCTAACTGTAAAAAATGCAAATTAGTTAAATTCATTTGCTAACAAACCGACATATCTATTTTAGTTCAAACAAAAATTTTATTTAAATTATGTTTATGAAATGTCTATACGATCCTTCTTGTTTTTCGTCAATTGACACCTGTCATGTCATGCAATATCAACCATGTCTTTTTTTTAATTCTCATTTTAAATAGCACAAAAACATGAACAGAATATTTTTGTCTCGTCATATTAGTTCGATCAAATATATCTATTAGAAACATTTTAAATTAAAGTTCAGAAATTTTAGTTAGTAATAACAATGATTTATTTATATTTTACACGCTTTACAACTTATCAACATGGATCTGTTTTTCTTTTTTTAAAATCATCATATTCATACATGTCTCATTTACTAATTCATTGCCAGCTAGGGTTATTGAATATCAACACATTACCTGTTTTATGAGATTTAATTTAAGCGGACAAGAAAAAAAAAAAAATATATATATATATATATATATATATATATGTTCACCAAAAGGATAGAAAAGAAGAATTAAGTTCAATGCATATTTTGAGTTTTGAATATAAATTATAATATAGATTGAAGAATGCATTTCATTTATAATAATCATTATTCACAATTTATACGCTCATAATGTAATAACTACTTATAACTGAAAAGTGTAAAGAGAAAAATGATCTATAAGTTGTTTTTAATATGTTTATTCAACAGTCATAAACAATAAAAGTCTCCACCTATTTCAACAGTTTCGTTTACTTCTAAGAAATGTTAATTAATCATTAGTTTGCTAAATAATATACAGATGTGTGTAGTTCTAATAATTAATGAAACATATTTGTTAAGTCGGTGTTCATAGGAGCAAAGTAAAAACTAGATATACGAGTGCTTTTCGGTTGAACGCTCTGTCTGTATCAATATATAGACTACATTAGATAAAACTATATATTCCTTTCTATAATATTCAACCAAAACGAATATATATTTGTCGATAACAATATATGGAAACAATCAGTAAAATAGATAACTGTATAAGTGAGACTTTTATATAGTTGTTATTTCCATAACAAAAACAACATTGTTCATTTAGCAGTGAATTGATATAGAGTATTTCAGGGTAAAAAGAGACACTTTTTGGAAATTTTCGTCGACTTAACGAAAATAGTTCATTCAAACACATAGAGAAAGAAAATTAGTTTAAAAAGACTTTACTTTGTAACTTCGATCCATTCGCTCTCTCTATCATATAATTTTGTGTTCATTATCGTTAAACTCATTAAGCTAGTTAAGATACAATCAATTGTAGGTGAAATTTTCTTTTTTCTTTTGTTATGCACAGAGTTGAATGAAGTACTTAAATAGGACTCTCCCCATTTTGGATCTTGCTCAAAGAAATACCGGATACTTTCAAAAAGGATATTGCATCAGCATGGAGAGACATGTTCGATAGCAAGTTTTTCTGACGGATAATGGTTGAGATTTCGCAAAAGTAAAAAGTAAGACAAAAATGTTTAAAAAGTGCCTCTTTTACTAGTGAGTATTCTGGTTAATATCAATAATAAATAAACAAATTGGATTGAGACGATGTTAAACGATTATTATAGAGGGCGAACTCTTTACAAAAACCACTATAATAAAATTAGGTCACTCGTGAGTAAGTGACAATTCAGGAAAATATTTCTTACAAGAATTTGAACAAACAAAATCATATCATTGCTCACAGAGTAAAGAAGATTTTCAAAAAACTGCTTATACGAAAGTTAAAATAAGACCTAGAGTTAAAAAGAAGACCTCTCTCTCGTGTATCTTTCTTTCTGTACGTTTCAATAGGGTTGTAATTTCTTTACCGGTAATTGTTTTTATATATACAACATAGATAACGCGTTCATTGAAAATTAGAACTATTTCAATGTATATGTCAGCGTCCAAACTCCGATCCAGGCCAATATGAGATTGGCCTAGGCCAAATTTCATATTTGACCATAAAACTTATGATCAAATTAATGGAATGTCGATAGGCAGTCCTCCTGCCAGTTTTTCTTGACCAATTTTTTCATGTGCATCTCTTAGAATTGTATAATAAGCCTCTAATAGAACCATTCTAGTACCATTTTTCGATGAGCATAGTAAATCAACACCAGCTGAGTTATCAACTTTGAAAAACTTTTTACACCATGCATAAAAATAGCTATCTACACCAGTTTCTTTTCCAGATGTGGTTTATTTTAATGTATTAAGTATTTTGTTATAGTACGATACCGTTACCATAGTCTTCTCACGCATCCCGGTGATAAACCGTTTTTGTAATCATCAACCTTTGCACAGAAAGTTTTTTCTGCGTTAGATATATCAGCTTCGATCAATACATCGCTTCCATGTGTCAAAATCATGCCATTACTACCAATATCATTACTATCAGGATGGTTGTGCATTGTCTGACTCGATTGCGGTTGCATTTTATTAATAAAATCGTTATATTCCATGACAGGAAATAATTGAGATTAAGAGCAAGAGTTTGTTTACTACAAGTGAAGTTTTTGTTATGCACGCGCAGTACTGCAATGATATTACTTTTTCTGTTATAACTTTACTATTTCATATCTGTTTTGTCTCATCCACTCTGAGTTTGGCCTGAGAAAATTTTTAATCCCAGTTTGATCTAGTTCAATCAGAGTTTGGACTAGAACAGTTAGTCCAATGTAACTTTGGACTGCAATTTTTTCTTTCGACCAAGATTGACCCAGTC